AAGAGTTGGTGAAAGTCGTCACCTAGGACTCTCAGAGCAGTCGTCCCAACTTTGACTGTTCGGTCGGGACGCGAGTCATCTAGGATCAGGTCCGTATGCTCACCAGCCGGCTGAGGGCGGAATTCATCTGACCGCTCCTCTGCCAATGATTGCTATTTTTTCTCTTTTCTTGCGGCCCCCATCTGGGCAGCCTTTCTCTTCTTGCCGCCTGCTTCTTGAACAGGCGCACTCTCCTTGACATTGTCAAGGTCTGTTTTCCCACCCCTTGACCCAGCGGCCATGACAGTGGGCTTAATATCCGAGAGATAACATTCTCGGGCCATCTTCTGATCCCCCCTTAGGGAGCCGACTGTTCCATCATCCCTCTCAAACTTGAGCAACATAAGAGACGGGATTATAACAGCCTTGGAATTATTCAGGGTTGGTCGTCCCAGAATCATGTTGTAGGCTGAGAGTTCCTCAACTACCAAGAACCGGACCACCATGTGTCGACCTTCCCCTTTTTCACCCAGACGGATGGGTAAATCCACTCGTCCCACTGGGTGGACTCCTCCTCCTCCAAACCCTACTAGAGGGTGGGATACCGGATGTATGCAATCAGTCTGATATTTGAGTTTTGACAGACATTTGCTACTGATAAGGTCTGAGGAGCTGCCGGTATCGATGAGGATTCGGCCAACTCTCTGGTTGGCCACTTTACATTCAATAACAATAGGGTCGTCATGCGGCCCCCTTACCCCTCCTAGATCTTCTTCAGTGATGACAATTTCAGGAAATGAATATTTGGAGGGCCGTTCTTGGTGAACGGAATTGACGTCTAGCCGCCTGATATTGTCTTTGTTGCCCCTAATAGTGGGGCCGCCTCCTGAGAAGCCGCCTGCAATGGTGTAGACAACTGCATCATCTGTATCAGAGCTGTCGGCCTGTTGATTCTTTTTGGACGACTACTTCTTCGAGGAAGTGTTCCCCTTAGATTTCTTGACATAAGAGTCAAGATCGCCTTGTTCAGCCAGGCGGTCCAGATACCGCATGAGGCTGATGCATTCGTTGGTTTGATGACCAACATCTTCATGATAATCACAGAATTTTTCTTGGTTCCGGTTGCTCGCAGAACCCTTCATGGGGTCCGGCTTCTCAATTGAGATCCGTCCCTTGATTTCTTTTAGGATAGTTTGGCTATCCTTGTTAAATGCGTACTTCGGAGAGTATGGTTTGAACTCTTTCTTCTTTTTCTGGGCCGGCGGTTTAGAGGAATCAGCCGCCCATACCTCTTTTCTCTTTTTCTCATCTTTGTTGGACGACTGTTTCTGTCGTCCCTCTTTTTTGTCGAACCTCTTCCCGTCCGACTGTTTTCCCGTACTACAAAGATCAGTTGCCTGTATATAGGCTTCTGCTTCAATCAAGGCTTCTTGAAGAGTCGCCACCCTCTTCCGAACCAAATCAAACTTGAAGGTCGACCCGTCTTTGAGGCCTCTGAAAAATTCAGTGTAGGCCACCTCATCCGGTAGCCCTTGGATCTGTATTCTCATCAGGTTAACCTGCCTGATGTAAGAACGAAGCCCCTCCTTCTCGCCTTGCTGAATCGTCCCTAAATCAAGGGTCGTCTTCTTCGCAGGTATGTTCATGGCAAAGTTGGAGGTGAATAAGTAAGCAAGCGTCCTGAAGTTAATCACACAACCAGTCGGCAGGTTGCCGAACCATTGTTGTGCGATTCCTTTGAGAGTCGCTGGAAAACACTTGCACCAAGTGGGACCATCCAACCCTTGAAGGTACATCAGGTTGGTGAATGCCATCAAATGGTCTTCTGGGTTAGTAGTGCCGTCATAGGCGCCTACTAACACATTTTTCACTTTGGCCGGCTGAGCGGCTTCAGTAATTTCCTTGGAGAAGGCCGACGGCTGTTCCCCAAGTCTAAGCAACCGTAGTTGCCAGTCCATAGGTTGGACATTCTTTGCCGCATGTCCTCCAAACAGAGGTGGCTGCAAAAAATATTGTTGTTGCGGTACAAATGGTAAGCTTGGTACCGCCTGGTCAGTATGAAAGCCGGACTGACGGGAGGTACCGCCTGACTGACTCTCATGATGTGACTGAGTATACCTCATCGAGGTATTGCGTAGACTGTCTTGGAAGTCTGAAGTAGAGGCCGACTCTGACAGTCGGTCGTTCTTCTTCTGCTCTAGCAATAGCCGAGCGTCTGTGTATGTTTTCTTCGAACCGTCCGCCTGAATATGACGAACGGGTTTCCTCTTTCCTTTAGAATAGGAAAGCGATACTTTGCGAAATCAAGGACACGCGGCTCCCACTTCCTAGAGTTAAGATGAGGAGTCGCCTCCCTCCCTTGAACAGGCTTCCTCTTCCCTGAAGAGGAAGGTTTCTTAGCCGACTGCTCCTTGGCCAGAGCAGGCGTCTTTTTGTTGAGCAACTCTTGAATCTCTCCCTCGAAGCCCCTCATGAAGGTCATGAGTTCGTTCCTTGTAATGGGAGCAGACCCATCAGCCGGCTGCTGAACAGGCGGTGCGCCGACTGGATCACTGAGTCCAGTTTGAAGATCCTCCCGTTCTCTCCTTTCGGTATGACGGGTGCGCCGGGCCCTTAGGGTCCCGTCTGAAGCTGTATGAGCTTCAACTTAAAACTCCTTCAGTATCATGGTCCGACTGAATTTGAGGGTCGTCTAGGGGATGCCTCTCTTCAGGATTCGGTACAGACGTTGATGCCATATCAGAAGTACTCTCCCCACAGACGGCGCCAAGATGTTTCGGGGTTTTTTGATGTCCTGCGGGAGAGTTACAATTCCGAGACTGGAACCGGACGCCTGTACCTGCAAAACAAACGGATGCTCCGGATGATGGGAGATCCGCCTCCAACGGTCAAGTTAGTACTTGATTAAGGAGTAATTAATGCGGAAAAAATGTAATTGGGTCTCTCTAGGTGAGAGTGTTAAATGTGTGTAATCCCCTTTAATGAGGATTAATGGGCATATTTATATGCCTTGGGATGCGTGCCAATACTAGGTTTAGGTTAAACCTAAGGCTGACTGGGCTTCCCACAAAAATTGGGCCTTGTTGGCTGATTTATCCATTTGGCATGGATGGACACGTGTCGCGTCGCAATTGGTCCATGGAGGACGTATCTCCGGTTGACACGTGGCAAGCTCCCATTGGCCTACGTGATGGACACGCGGCGGAGCCTGGCTGGTCCACGTGTCAGATGCTGATTGGTGGATAAAAATCCCCTAATCAGTAGGCCCTACATATGTTAATTTTGACATGCTGATCTACGTGTTGATTGTGGGACTCATGAAATAAAAGCTAAATGAAAATCGGAACTTACCTTCTTACATATTTTCTTTTCTTTCACTTTGCTATATGCCTACTCTTTTTTTTTTTTTTGACATTTTTATTTTTATTTTGGGGTGCAAACGAGGGGCTTAGAAAGAAACTAAAAATATTAAATAAAACAAAGGTGGAAGTGTGGAACAAACTAAGGGAATGTCACACTCTATCCTCATGTAAAATCCGTAGTATGGCCTAATAATTAAGGTTAAAGTTGGGAACTAAACCAACACATCAACTTTGTTGTTCTGTGATACTCTTGATTGGCGAGCCAATCAACTATTCTATTTCCTTCGTGATAAATATGCATCACCTCCACTAGCCATCTTTTGTCTTCTAATAGCTTCAGTTGCACTAAGTAGGAGAGGAGATAAATTAAGGCGATTTTCCTTTAATTTGTCTACAATGTCTACAACACTTGCTTTTTTGAAACTAAAGTTTGTGTATTGGAACAAAAGTTTGTATATTCAAACCAAAGTTTCATATAGTCAAATTAATCATGTAAAATTTATATATAGATTAATTATATTTATGTCAAGATTAATGCTTTTCTTTTTTGATAAATAAAAGTACTCGTACCATTTAAAATATATTTTCCAATCATTATTGAGTATCAAAAAATTCATTATCCGATGTCTAGTATCCTAAAATTACCCTCACGATTTTTTTGGTCCGGTATTTGCGGGTCAGACACTTTGAGAGTGAGGGGGAAAGGTAGGGTAAAGGATCATCACCTTCAAAGTGTCTTTTAACCGGTACGAGTACTTTTATTTATCAAAAAAGAAAAGCATTAATCTTGAGATCAATCAATAATCAATAAACCTATACTAAAAGCGAATCTTAAACGACACGTGTCAATGTGTGGTTAAAAAAATTTCCGTCTAATTTTTCTTTCCAAATTTCTCTTTTAATATAATTGATACTAATCATTAATATTTCTTAAATTATTATTTTCATGGATGATTATAATAATACTGAGTATTTTTTTTATGTAATATATAAGTCAAGATATGTACATGATATATCATTAACTATTAGTAACAATAAATTTACTTTTTTTTTAATATTTAAATATAATTTTAAAAATAAACTTTTTATACATAATAATTTATTATAAAACTGATGTTAGTATAAACTCAAATGCAAAATATACTTATGTGTCAATTGATTTCATTAAATTTTATTTATGATAGATTTTGAATTAAGTAACTTAATATTACCCGTGCATGCACGGGATCTAAACTAGTATAAACTAGGTTAGAACCTGTGCGATGCACGATTTATATAAAATCTATATAAGAACTATGCATCCTGTAAGAAAAAAAATGAGTAATTTTAAAATTTTAGACTTTCATCAAGATTATGATATAGAACCGGTTTAACGTCACCTAATACATATTTCAATGTAGGAGGCAATTTATTATTATACTGTTTAAAATTATTTCAATTTCCTAGGATAAAGTGATAGGTTTTAGTAGTAATGTAGAAGCACATCATCCTAGAACTTAGACGGGAATTTTTTTTATTAAAAGAGCGACATATAAGTAGTGAAAACGTCAGCATACTCTGTTTTAGTAATAGTTAATAGAATAAATATAACATCCTTAACACTGAACCAAGCTTAGCTCAACTTAGATAGAAATTATGAATATGAATATATGATTAACTCTATTTACGTTGTAGCCCTATTTGTCCTTCTCTCTCACTCTCACTCTCCCACTCTTACTCTGCCATTGAAGTTCACACCACCGTTTGCATTGAGGCACCTTCTGATATTTCAATCCTCCATTGAAGCAGCTTCTGAGGTAATTTGTTGTTTCTTTTTTGTAATCATCATATCAATTTCACAATCTAGGGTTAATCGTTTATCTAATTTAATTATCAGTATAGTAAATTTAGGGTTCGAATAATCGAACTATTGGTTCTAATTACGAGCGAGAGAAGAAAATTATGAGCCTTATTTGATAATTGAATCAAATATGCCTTCTTCTCCCTAAATTTATGTGATTTTTCGAGCTTGATTTAGCAATTGAATCAAATTTTGTTGCTAATGTGTTCAGAACCCTCTAATGTTAGGATTGAACTATGAAATTGGACATCTTCTACCTCCTGCCCTGAAATTTACATCTGACTTGAGAATTTATATAAGTGTTTATATATTTTTTTTAAAGTTGTATTATGATTTGCATGATTTTTGTTGTATTAAGGTTGGGTGAGAAATGATACATTTTGAAGAAAGCTTAAAAAAAGCTATGAGAAGTTTTATTAGATTGATGATTTAGGGTTTGAATATGGTACTTGGAAATTAATTGGATTCGCTAATTATGACCTATTATTTAGGAATTTCGGCCGCAAAGTTTTCTGGGTCATTGCTGCACAGTGAAGCATACCGGTCCTGGGTTCCTCTTTCTCTTTTCTTTCTTTCTTTTCTTGTTTGTCACAGCTCATTACAAAAAACCCGTTTGGAAAAATGCTTTCGTGTCGCAAAATTGCCAAGTGTGTCGTGTGCTTTTGGCCTCGGGAAGCTGTACATTTGTATGGTGTTTATCAAAACATTACCAGCTATAGACGTCCAATTTGTGCTTCCTTTTGCACTTTCCCGGAGTCACCTAATGCTGCTGATACCCTTAATGTTGTTGAGTCACCCGAGTTACCTAATTGGATAAAGTTTTGTGAACATGAAGACCCTTCTGTTGTGGAATCGGATGATTTTGTTTTGCCCAAAATTGCTGAATGGGCTGACACCCAAAAGCTACATGTTGACCATAGCAAGTATGTCAAACACATGGTAGGTGAAATTGTGGATAGTGACGTCAATAGGTTGGCCGAAGTTATAAAGGGACAGTCTGAGTTGCCCAATGCTGTTGGCTATGCTCTGGCTGAGTGTGGGCAAATTGATTTATCTGAGAGCTTGGTGGAGAAGATTTTACAGAGATTTCGTAATGACTGGGTCCCTGCATTTGGGTTTTTTAAATGGGCCAAAGATCAAACAGGTTTTATGCCCACGGATAAGTGCTACAATATGATGGTTGATATATTGGGGATGTCAAGGAAATTTGAATTAATGTGGGAGTTGGTCGATGAGATGCACAAATTGGGAGGATTAGTTTCAATTGTCACAATGAGTAGGGTTATGAGAAGGCTTTCTAAAGCTGGAAAATATGATGATGCTGTTGAGACATTTAAGAAATTTGAGCACTATGGCATGATCAAAGACACTACAGCATTGCACATAATAATGGATACCTTGGTGAAAGAAAAGAATGTTGAGCGTGCTCAGGAAGTATTTTTGGAGTTTAAGGATGAAATAGCTCTGAATTGTCGCACTTTTAATATCTTGATCCATGGTTGGTGCAAGGCTAGGAAACATAATGAAGCAAGAAAAATAATGGAGGTTATGGAGAAGCATGGCTGTCTCCCTGATGTGGCATCATATACTTGTTTTGTTGAGTCATATTGCCAAGAGAAAGATTTTCGTAAAGTTGATGAAATTTTAAATGAGATGCAGCAAAAAGGTTGCCCCCCTAATGTAGTGACTTATACTATTTTTATGCTTGCTTTGGGGAAAGCTAAAGAGATAAACGAATCCTTGGAAATTTATCAAAAAATGATGCAAAATGGTTGTGTCCCTGACTCAAGCTTCTATAGTGCCTTGATTTTCATCCTGAGCAATTCTGGAAGGTTTAAAGATGCATGTGATCTCTTCAATGATATGCCAAAGCAAAATGTTGCCCCTGATGTCTTGACATACAATACCATGATATCTTCTGCTTGTGCTCATTCAAAAGAAGAATATGCTTTTGAGTTACTCAAAGAAATGGAGGAGAAGTCTTGTAGACCTAATCTTCAGACTTTTATACCATTGCTGAAAATGTGCTGTGTGCAGAAGAGAATGAAGGTTCTCAAGTACTTGCTAGATTACATGTTTTTGAAAAATATTAGTGTTGATTTCTCAACATATTGCCTTCTTGTGGATCGGCTATGTAAGAGTGGGAAACTGGAGCATGCCTGTTCCTTTGTTGAACTAATTATCTTGAAGGGAATGGTTCCTAAGGATAACACGTACCAGTTGCTGATGGAAAAACTTGAGCAGAAAGGCATGGTGAAAGCGAAGCAGCAGATTGAAAGTTTAATGTTGAAGGCAGAAGTATCACCCACATAATAGGACTTTTGGTTTCCGATGATGGTTGCAATAGTGAGTTTTGTGACTAGGGAAGAATTTGGTAGCGGAACTCATTCCAAGTTTCTGCCTTCTCCATTTTTTGCTTATTGTGACATGATTATATGTAACATATTGCTAGTTTTAGCTCTTCAAATGCCAAAGAAGCATTGCTGAAGAGAGATAAGACTCTAAGGTAGAATTGTTTTCCTCTCTAACAAGAATTTTTGTTTGCTGTAATGTTCTTGAGTTTCTTCTTAGTCTGATGAGTTCCAATGGAACTACTCAAGTTGTTTGTTTTTAGTTCTTCATTAGTGCTACCATGGCTCATTGTTTCAGTTTGTCATTTGTTGCATCGAGTTCTTATATTATCAATAACCTTGTCTAGTATTGGTTTATTAGAGAGACAGTGTACTAATGCTAGCTATTAACTTGTTAAAAAATTATATCAATGGTATTATAGCAAAAATAAAAAAGAAGGAAGTCTGGCCTAGTGGCCCGTTACATGAATCCTGATAGTTTTTTCTCAATTTTTCCTTGCCATCCCCTAATATCTTTTGTCTGTTTTCTGATCTACCCCCCCCCCCCCAATTCTGTTTTAGATATTCAATGGTTTGTGTTTTTAATAGGATATGGCTCTTCATAAAAAACCGAGAGGCCTTATTCCACCAAAACAATTGCGTCCACCTTCTCTGTTGCTCTGGCACCACTTCAATTGCCATTCCTCACTTTAATTTGGTGGTCAAATTTGACCACCAATCTGTCAACCATGAAAATCATGAGAATAAAAAATCTTATTACCATTGACAATTTGAGCAGACAAGTTTAGCTACATATGTTATTTTAGGAATCTTGATTCATTTAATTTTTTGGTGGTGGAAAGAGCTTTGGTGTAGTGGTAGTGGTTTTTTTGGAGGAGTGGATTAGTCGTGTTGGCTGTAAGATGAGTGATATTATATGTTGCCTCGTTATAGTACAGGTTTGGGATGGTATATGTTTTTGATCTTTCAGTGGATGATAAGACTGATGAAATAAGTTTGGGAATGATGATACTGATAATTAGGGAGAGCTGTTGGACATTTGGTTTATTGTACTTCATGTCATATTCTTGGAAGTGAGCAAATTTAAGTGCAGATGCAGCAACAATATTTGAATTCATGTGAAGAAATTGAGCCAGTTTGAGAGTGTGGTTTGGAGATAGTATAGGATTGATAAATTTCTTTTGAAAAGTTTGAGTGCAGGTGCAGTAACAATTTTGGATTCATTTGCAGGCATAATTGGATCAAATTCATGTCCAGAAGAATGAATTGATGGGTGGCTATGGAGAAAAGAGCAAATTTTTGCCCAATCAACTCTCTAATAATCAACCCCCTATATTCTAACATTGTCAATGAGTGATAAATAATCTCTGCAAACATTATTATAATGTTCTTATCATGTGTCTAGTGTGTCTGATTAAAGACTGCCTCTGTTGTTGGAACCAGATTGAACTAAGCAATACCCGTGTTCCAATTTGGAAATCTATCAATGGCGAAAAGGCCAGTTCCATGGGATGATCAGGTAGATCTTGTGTCATCAGATGATGAAGCAGCAGATATGGAGGCAGATGATGGCGCCTCTGACCAAAAGCCTAACATCGATGGTCTTAGTTACCAACCTGCCAATGAAAAACATTCTGAAGGTACATGATTACTTGTAAGCTTTTATATTTTGATGGATGAACAGTTCTTGGTTCCTCTCTAATGTTTGAATACTGCTTGATGGTGGGCCTTGATGCCCTTTATAAATTCTTGTATTATGTCTTTTTGGCAAATGATCCCTTGGTGATGATTTAGTTACATATAGTAGTAGTGGTGTATAAGTTCACTGTAAAGTTAAGTCAGAACAATACATAAATTTTAGGAAAATTTGTCAAAAAAAACCTTTTAAATGCACCATTTTGCGAAAAAAAAACCTTTTAAAAGCTTTTTCGTAAAAGAAAACCCGAAGTTAAATTTTTTTGCAAAAGAAAACTCAATTGTGAAATTTTTTTGTTGAAGACAACCTAATGCCTCTAATTCACTTAATTAAGCTCTAATTTCTTCTAATTATCCTCTAAGTCTCACTTAACCATTTATTAATTAATTTAACTTATAAATAAAAAAAAACCCCAAAAACCACCACCCCCACCACCAACCAGCCACTCCCTCCTTTTCCCCCTCCCATGGCAGCAGCCCCCTCCCCCGAACTGAGCCACCGCCTTGAACCCCCAACTCCCAGCGACCCACCTCGACGGCCAATAAAAACCACCACCCCCACCACCAACCAGCCACTCCCTCCTTTTCCCCCTCCCATGGCAGCAGCCCCCTCCCCTGAACCGAGCCACCGCCTTGAACCCCCAACTCCCGGTGACCCACCTCGACGGCCAATAACATCGAGCAATTAATGGGTGTTTCTGGTCAGGTGGCACGCTTCTTCTCCCTCTTCCTTTTCTCTCGTTGACTCACTCTCTCTCCCTCTTTCTCGCAGTCGCCGCCGCGTTGTCGTCCGCCACTCGATGTTGATGCTCTCATCGCTGTCTAAGGAGGGAAGGTGGATGGTCGGGGTTAGGGTTTAGGGAAGGGGGAGGGTTGCAGCGGGGGGTAAGGGGTAAAGGGAGAGAGGCCGGCTAGCGATTCAGGGCGGTGGCTCAGTTGGGGGGAGGGGGCTGCTGCCAAGGGAGGGGGGAGGGGGAGGAGACGGAGAGGGTGGCTGGCTGGTGGAGTGGTGGTAGGGATGATATGGTGGTTTTTATTTAATTTAATTATAAAATGGCTAAGTGAGAGTTATAGGATAATTACGAAAAAATTAGAGCTTAATTAAGTGAATTAGAGGCACCGGTTGTCTTTTGCAAAAAAATTTAACTTTGGGTTTTCTTTTACGAAAAACCTTTTAAAAGGTTTTTTTTCGCAAAATGGTGCATTTAAAAGGTTTTTTTTTGACAAATTTTCCTAAATTTTATATGCCAATTATTACTGTTGTCTTAGCTTTCATTGAAGCAGCTCTACCTCCCTTAGTCCCTTGCAATTTTTCTAGAGATTAATGGCTATCTACTGGCCTTTACAAAATGCTGCATGCCATCAGCAAAAGCACCATCAGTAGTGCCCTTACTGATTCATGTATCCGCATATAAAGATCACTGAAACCTGCCAGTCACTACCATGCTTTTAATAAATCTTGCCTAATTCTTAGTATAGTTTTTAATAACCCAACTCTTTTCTTGAACAATTGTGTTCTTTATCATCAACAAAATAGTCTCACCTCTTTCTCGTCAAAGTTGACTATTTCTCTTCAGTTCATTAGGTTCCTTGAACTTTGATCTTATGACTCTGAAGCCATTGAATATTTTTAACATGGGATGGTGAGGTCGTAAAGTAAATGAGGTTGGGAGGCAGAGCCCAAAACTGTAGTCAATTGCACTAAGACGGAAAGTGATAGAAGTTAGATTAGGAACATTATTTCTTGCTTCCCAAAGATCTGAAGTTGATTTCGAGATTTTTTAGAGAATTTAGGCTATGTTTTGGCCCAATGAACATCTTAAGAGGAAGAGAAAGGCAATTGAATAACTGTTCTGTCATAGGGGGCTGGAAAATTGATATCAATGCACAGAGGTAGAACATACTTGGTGGAAAAGTGGAGGTCTTTTTTGCGGCAAGAGTTTCTGATTCTGAATGAGAGGGAACTGGTGAGAAAGAGACGTGATTTTTATTCAAGAGTGAAATAATTATTACTAGATGTATGTTTTGCTAGTTTTTCTGCATCTGAGTTTTTGAGAGAGTATTGTAATCAAACTTATTTATTGAAAGTGTCTGAAGTCTTTAATTCTTATCTCTCCCAGCACAGCCTTTTAGATATTTCTCTACACACATTTAACATCTGATACTACTGTGTGTGGTATGATCTGTTGTATATTTATGAATGCAGCTGCTGATGTCTATATTGTGCTTCACATTGTGCAGGTGCCATGGTGAGAAGGGCAAAAATATACCAGGAGTACATGAAAAAGGTCCCCATTCCATGCCAACGCGGATCAGTCATACCGTGTAATTCATGGATGGGATTAGCCAAATCAATCAAGGAGCTATATGGGCAGCCACTGCACTACCTCACAAACACTCTCCTAAAACAGTGGGATCAAGCAAGATTTGAAACCGGTGATGAGTACCAGCCATTGGACACCGTTATTCATCCTCTTAAAGCGGAAGCAACCATCTGGTTTGTGGAGGAAGTTCATCGCTGCACAGCTTCATACCATCAACTGTCAAAACTCTGGCTGGGTGATCCAATGCACCATGCTTATGTAGATGCTATCTTCCCAAAGATATGACATTTGGTTGGTTCTAACTTGTCGGTAATGCTGTGCTTGCACTTGGTGTATTAAGTATATTTGTCTTGTACATGAATGTGAATTCTCTGTACTGACTTTGGTGAAGAAGTGCATGCTGCTGCAGGACTTGCAAAATTAAGTTTTGGTTCTGAAGTAACCTGTATGTTCTTGTTACTTCCCCTACTTTCAGCGCATATCTTGTTACCCATCTTATTTGGATAATCTCCCTCCAACACGATAGTGTATTTAGCTAGTATCGTGACAATTAAATCTGGATGAAAGTAATGCGAGTATTACTATAGTTGATGAAATGTTGGATGAGTTTGCCACGCCACAGTAAACCTCAAAGGAAGGCATAAAAACATACTACCTCTGTTTCTTTTTTATTTACAACAAAGGGGTATTTTATGTGAGACATAAAAAATTCATTTGTTGCAAATAAAAAGAAACAATAAATCCGATCGAGACCCGTAACTTTGGGTGCATGGGTGCAGCATGTTCAATAAAGCGCCCCCTAAATAAATGTACAAAAGTTTGGCTTTGGCATGTTGAATGCTGTATAGACAGGCTAGTTCATGCATCTGTAGGCAAGAGTAGATTTTGTTTATATATTAATATATTTTATTTTCTTGAATTCAAAAATAAAATCTGTAAAGCATAAACAAGTGAAAGTTGACCCGTATAAACGACTTTATTACTTGTATATAGGAATGATAGTGGCAAGCATAAGAGCAATTGAGCAGGATAAAAACAACATAACATCGTAAAACAAGGTATGAAACATAAATTATGGACGTTTAAGATTCTCTTTGGATGCCAATAGTCTCTGTAGAAGCGATATTGAAATTTAATGGATTTATAGGTGCAGTAATCTCCCAAAAATAATAGTTGTATGTAGCAAGTCTTTTCAAAATTAATATGAATAATATATCACAAACGATATACTTTTCTGATAATCTAACTAATACAATACTCTGTAGTAGAGAAATGGAGTAATTAAGAAAATTGATGACCAAGTGATTAGCAACTACTTTGTAATTGCCTTGCTTTTAGAATATTTGATATCCATATTGGCCATTGAAATCATAAACGACTGAAGACTTAACCTCAAATAACACGTAAAATTAGAAGTGATGATGCAAAATGATATCGTATGCCCTAACAAGTCTATTTACCTATATCAAAGTGGAATTTTTTTAGAGAGAAATTTCCCTCCTAGACTCTATTCTATCTTTTACATAATCATCAATTTGTCAAAGAAATTCATTATTTATTTATTGTTGTAATTAAATATTGATTATTGTGTTACATTTATCCAAAAACTTCTACTTCCTCCGTTTCTTTCAAATGCAACACACCTTTTTTTCACGCTTTTTTAGGAGGTGATTAGAGTAGGTAAACAGACAAATTAATCAAAATAATTTATACACATATTAGCTAACCCTTCTCTAATCGTGGTGTTAAAATTATTTTGATAGCTCACTTACCTATTCGAATCACCTCCTAAAAAAACGTGTCAAAAAGATGTGTTGTATTTTAAAAAACAGAGGAAATATATTTTAAAAACCGAGCATGAATCGAGAATCATCTAGTCGACTAATAGATTACTCTTATCACACAACTGGCCGAAGACAATCCTTTCCTTTGGTATAATATAAAGTGATTCACACAAACACACTTCCTACTTAATAGGCATATGCTTCTGCTGATTCCCCCAAAACTTGACACTCACTCCCCCCCACAGAAGTTACAAACTTCCCAAAGAAATTGAAAATAAAATTAACATGGTAATTCAATTCTTGTCTTTTACACCCCATTATTGAATAATTCTGAGTGTTGCTGAATTCTTCTGACTGACAACTGATTAATTGAGAAGCACATTTAGGAGAAAGAATGTCGTCAATGGCGACGGTTTTCTCTCACTACCCTTCTCTTAGCCCTCCTTTAGCAATTTCCCATGCCTGTAAACCACGTTTTCTGAAGCTTTCAAGCTGCTTCAATGGAGTTCATGGTGCTTTTCCTCACAAAAGGGTGCTTCTTTCTGCTACCCACTTCTCCAAATATTTATGTTTTCGGTATATATCTTCCTTATTTTCTCTATTTCTTGCCTTTTGTGTTATAATCTTTGTTGGGTAATTGTTATATATCATAGATATTGTTTTTGTGATAGTTTATTGAGCTCAAATTGTTGGCATGGTTATTTTTGAGAAAAATTGCTAGCCTTAGATTTGTGAAATAATGTTATTGATTGGCAGTTGATATTGGTGAGTGTTGTTGATAGCTAGGTGTCAATGGTCTTTTGTTTTTTGGTGTATAGGGTGTCATAAAGGGCATTAATATAGACAGGATTTGATTACGAATCTTGGGTAATGGTACTACGGTACTACCCCTAAGTCTCTAATTAGATAAGCTAATTGGCATCCACACAAATGTTCTTTTGTTGCTAATTATGAATGTGAGGTTAATTTTGCACAATGATGTGGATATGTGCCCAAGGCACAAGGTTCCATACATGATCATGTATCGAGTCAAAGCCCACTTGCTTATTGTTGTGAACCGAATGCCTCTATCCTTAACCAATTGGCATTGAATAGCATGGCTCACTTTGGGGCATTAGCTCACTTATTAACAATTTAATTGTCTTAATATATTTTGCAAATTGAATAAATCTGACTTGACATTGGAACTTGTCATTTGTATTGTTGGTTGAAGTATGCCCTGGTGTGAGGTCCTCTAAGTGATTTGTGGAAGGATAAGAGTTATGAGTATTTCTTTGTGGTGGAGAAGCATTGACCAAGTTGGCATTATTTTGAGAGGATAGTAAGGAGGGCCTCCGCTGGACTGAGCTATCTTAGGCCAGCTCTTTATTTTTTTTCTTTGGGGTGGGGGGAGGGGTGGGAGAAGGTGTGTTTTGTAGAGAGCTTTTATTTATTATTTGGTTTCCTCATCTTTTGCATGATATATGGAATATGTGTTCAGTGTTTTGTCTTATCATTTTCTCAAAATATCAAATTCATACATTATGTTGTCTTGCTCGACACCAACAGTGTGAGAAGTTTTCAGCCAGAAGATGCAGGGGTTGATGATGCTGCAAACACGGGCAATTCCTTGAATAGAGGTGTAAAGTTGAATGAGGAGTTGTTCAAGGGCCAGCAAGATAGTGGGAAAGGCAGTTCATTTTTGGCAAAATTGGCAATTGGCCTTGGAGTGGTTGCAACTGTCACCTTCTTGTCTATTGGTTTCAAGCAGCAAAATTTGGGAACTTCCCTTGGAATTGAAATCCAACGCCTGTCTGATATTTCATCGTCTTCAAGCTTGGCTGCATCATCTGTTGGCTTCTCTTTTAAAGCATTTGGTTACAGAGTTTTACTTCCACAGTATGCTCCAGGGTATGTGTCAAATCAATCATTGAACCTTACATTAACTGTTAAGTGAAGCCTTTGACTTGTCTGTTTGTTCAAAAGCGAAAGGATGGTGTAATATATTGTTTTAATGGCATCACTCATTCACTCTATAGTTTGTTTGGTTTGTGAAAGACTGAAAGTATTCACCATTTAAGGATAGAGCTTATATAGAACCAAGAGTAAAATTGTATGAGTATGTCATTGCATCATGTTGTTGTAAACACTTATTTTCAATGCTATTTTGCTTTTTCCTCTTTGGACATTACATCATGTTTTTTCAATTTGGACCTATTGCTTTCTTCAATGTAGTGTAAAAACTAAAATCTATAGAAAAACAATAACAGGTGGATCTACTTCTTGTTGCTCATGGCTGCTGGATGTGGACTTTTCATCAGTGAAGAGGCTTTAAATATATGGGTCTGTCCTTTCTGCTGGTACTTCTGTTTCACAAACTCCAATGTTTGTTTTGTGTTTCATAGCTATTTCATGTTTTCATTGGTTGACTGAATGTGTAAGATATAGGTTGGTATAACATTGGCACGGAAATTATGTTTGGATGGTACATGGCAATCCTTTGCTGCATCATTCTCCAGTAATGCGCCATATATAATCTCTACAGTTTTATGGGTATACTGGTTAGTGGTTTTTTATTTATTTATTTATTTTTATTTAATGCTGTTTATGTATTAACAGATTTCCCAGGGGAAAAAAATGTTCTCCTTCCATGACTTTTTCTGCTCTTAGATAAACTCACGAAACTTTCTTTTCTTTAGGGGAGTTTGCATCAGTGATATGATACCATTTTACGTTGGGAAGCTATTTAAGCAATCTGGAGCTTCTGATGATTTGTGTTCAAAGGTTTGCTCTTCATCCATAATTCAAATGTAGAGGACTTTTATTCCAAAATCTATGCAACTGGATTGAGCCCTAAAGCCTAAACTTTCCTAGGTCTCCTCTCCTCTTCTCTTTCCTTGCATTTTTTTTCCTGTATTTGAATATTCTTTCAATAAATGCAGTTAGGGGTTAGCAAAGAGAAGGCGATGAACATTACACAAGCTGTTCAAAGATATGGAAATCTTAGTGGTTTCGGTAAATATTCTGAACTTGCTAGTCATTTTCTCCAACTTATTTTGTGGTCTGTAATATCATGTCCTATGGTTTAGAGTAGGCCATTATCATGTATAAATGCCAATAAGGGGATATAGTCACAGGTTTGATCTTGCTTGATGTACTGGCATAGATGAGGGTAGTTTGAGTTTTCTGTTTTATAAAAAAGTGTTCTTGCTCCTCTTATTTCCTTGGGACCTTTGACTGCCCTGTTATATGATCTTTGTAACGTGGGATAACGCAGAGAGATTGTCTTTCTACAAGTATTATTTAGGCATTGACTAGCTAATCCTATATTCTACGGTTTTGAATTTATATTGTTGATTATTGTAAGATCATTATACAGCTTGCTTTAGCTATATACTTCCTCCGTTCTTTTTTTATTGCATCATAGGGGTTTTGAAGGCAAAATTTGGTAGTGGGAAAATGTAAGAGGGAGAAACGTAAAAATACAAAATTGTCCATGTAATGTAAAGATAAAATAAAAAGTAAGTGTGAAAAAGTAAGGGTATGTTGGGTATTTACAGTATGAACATAGATATTTTTCGTCCTAAAATGGAAGTGATGCAGTATTTGTGAAACTTCCCAAAAAGGCAAGTGATGCGATATTAAAAGAACGGAGGAAGTATAAGAAATTGGGTGCAAGAATTCCTTTAATGCTCTATGAATGCTAATGGTTTGGGTAAAAGAGCCTCTT